CTGTCGAGGAAGATGAAGCTGTTAACTGGATATGAATCCAAGGTGATGGAGAGTGCTCACGTGGATGCTGTTATGATTCTTGGAGAAGTTTTCAGTGAAAAAAATGAGAAATACAATTTTGGAGGGCAAAATGTCACTAAGAGCATGCAAAAATTAGTGCCAACGATAATATCTCATCGTCTGTGCCCACCACCTGAGGAGATCTACAGCATTCATCGGAAATTGTCTGGGGTTTTCTTGCTGTGTGCTAAACTGAACGTCAAAATCAACTGCAGAGAATTATTTCAAGATGTGTACGAAAAGTACAAGTCAGGATGCGCAAGTTCTTGATGTGTAGAATTTTTATTGAATGTTGAACGTTTTTTTCTGAATTATTCGCTACAATGGGATTCAAATACGAAAAATAGAAGTAAATCTCGAATTATTTTCTTGCTCTCGAGTAAAACCAATTACTGTATTACATTAATGAACATAAATTCTCGATTTTCTAACTTGATCCATTGATGTGAGAAAATAAAAATGCTGTTGCTATAATTATTTAAGTAATTTTCTGACGATTACGCCAATTTTTTCGCTAATTCTCCAGTCTCGTACATTTTTTTAACGTCAGTACCACCGCCGATGAATTCACCGTTCACGAATACTCTAGGAACACTTCTGGCACCTGTAATTTCCCCCAGGATATCCTGGACCTCGTCGGCATCATCTCTGTGGTCCAGCTCGATTGAGTTGTACTTTTGCTTGAGTTTGTCGAAGGCCTTCAATGATAAAAAGAATTTCAATAATAAATAATCAGTCAATCTGTTTGTATTTATGATTGAATCCTCAATTATAAAATGAAATTTAATTCAATCACTCACATCTTTGGCCATTTTGCAATAAGGACAGTAGCTCTTGGAGAAGATGACGACCGTCTCGGAATTGATGGTTTGGGCTACCCATTCTTTCTTTGCGTCAGACATGACTCGTCTCGTGCTGGAAATTGAACCCATGATTCTTTTGCTAGACAGATTTCAAAATTATCCACAATACCCTCTGAATTTTATGAAATAGCTTCACAAGAATTTTTTGAATAAATGAATTCCTTCGTCCCAATGGTTGATTCCTGACAGATGATTTACCTTTCAGTGGATCTGTGAACTCGATTTTTCTCGAATCCCCGATGATGACGTTTCACGAATTGATTGAGGTTAAGCTCAACCACGACTCCAACGAGATTAATAAAAATATGAGGGTCATTTGACGGTAAAAATATCGCATCGGTAATTCTACGGTCATTTAAATTTTTTATACATTTTATATTTATATTCAATTTTATCAGCTGTGATTACAGTAAATTTTCAGATAACTGAAATTCATTAGAATTTTTATTCGGTATTGTCTAGCGGTTAGGATATCCGGGGATATTCTCTTACTAGAATTTCCAATAACACCTGAAATGGGAAAATGTGAAAAATAATTGAAACCCCCATTTATTACTTCCCTATTGTTTACATCGTATTCATTATTATCGCGTTGAAGTTAAAAAATAAAAAGCGGTGAATATCCTAGAGAATTAAATCGCTGTGCCCCTTTCAAGATTGAGTTTCGTCTCCCTCGTGTGCTCGCCATAGAATCGTTCCAATTTATTATTGAATTTGGCATTTCTTTCGTTAATATAATCGATATCTGCATCGTCATTGTGGGTTCTTCGTCTGCTGTATTTCTCTCGTTTGGCGATTCTGAAACAATAAAAAATTTCCGACAATCTCACGTTGAATTTGAAAACGAGATTGTGTATTTAAAAAAAAATGTTGAAAAGAAATTCGCACTGTTTCTCCAGATCCTCCACCATCTTGTCGACAGCCTCTTTCTTGTCCTCGTGAAGTCCTTGAAGGATTGTATTCCTGTCTCCATAAAATGCAGGACCCAGTTTCTCCTTCGATGCTTCATATGCTTCCATATTCGGTTTCATTCCTTTAACTAATCGATTGTACTGCCTGATAGTGGCCTGTTCGTAATCAGCAAACCCAGAGTCTGGGTTCTTCCTCTTCTTCTTCCTCTCGAGTCTCGCTGCCTCTATTGCGTCGATGTGCAGGAGCTTCTGTCGATCGTAGTCCAGTCCCTGATGAAAAAAAATGTCAGTGAAATCCACATAGAATTGAATTGCATCAAGTACAATTTCATCTCAATTGAATTCCTCACTTTCTCTTCTGCATCTTTCCTCGCAGTTTCATCACTTAAAATCCACTCAGCTTGACGTTTCCTGGCTTCCCAATTAGCTGGAAGTTTCATCCTCTTGTCCTCCTCAACAACTTCCTTGTGATTTTGGTTCCTAGCTTCATTCTGCAATATAAAAAATCCCAGGTATTCACAATTATTTTTTACTCCTGCCCTTGAAATTATTCCTCCAGAATTCCAGTCGACGTATTATATTTTTCTATTGAAATTCCATTGTAAATTCCTCTCGTCTTCCAGTTGTTGACATTAGATTGAAGGTTAACAAAGTTTTTCCAGAATATGTTAAACATTTTCTGACGTACCCTTTTATTATGCAATTCCTTCAGTCGTCGCATTCTTTCCGCTTGTTTCTCAGCAAAAGTCTTATCATCAGATGATCCTGGCTCCTCCATTATCAATAAATTGATGGAAAATTGTTTTTCACAAAGAAATCCAACAAAAACACTGGAAAATGGGAAGAAAAATTGGGGTTCCCAAATCGTGCTGCCCTCTAGTCCAGAAAAATCAAATTGTCTTTCAGGTTATGACTGTCACATGTGAGCAATAATAACCACAATAACCAAACCTCAAAGTGACCACAACAAATTCTGTGATCTGTGTTGTTTTTTCATTTAATCAATAAAAAAATGTTGCGAAGACAGGCCCGACTGAGGCGAGAGTACCTATACCGGAAATCAGTGCAGGATAAATTGAAAAATATTCAAGAGAAGAAAGAACGACTGAAGAAAAGTCTCGAAGAAAATACTCCAATTCACCCTGACCTCCGTAAAACAGCCCTTTATCTCCAGAGAAAAGCAGAATGGGAGGACGCAGGTAAATTTCATCATATTATTATTATTTACAGTGTATTAATAAAATTGTTAATAATGATTTCAGGTCCAGAGCTGGCAGCAGTGACAGGTACAGAGATGGGAGGAACAACTGGAGACCACGAGGACGATGAATACCGTTGGGCAGGTGTCGAGGATCCAAAAATCGTGATAACGACATCACGAGATCCTAGTGCTCGTCTCAAGATGTTCGTAAAAGAGCTCAGACTAATATTTCCAAACTCCCAAAGAATGAATCGAGGTAATTACGAGATGAAGCAGCTGATTCACGCATGTCGTGCCAACGAGGTGACAGATTTTATAATTGTCCACGAGCACAGGGGCATCCCTGACTCCCTGGTGATCTGTCATCTGCCTTACGGTCCAACAGCCTATTTCACGATGACTGACGTCGTCATGAGGCACGACATCCCAGACATCGGGACAATGTCCGAGCAGTATCCCCACCTTATCTTTCATAATTTCAAGAGCAAACTCGGGGACAGGGTCACCAGCATCCTCAAGTATCTCTTCCCAGTCCCCAAGGAAGACAGCAAACGAGTCATCACATTCGCTAATCACGATGATTACATCTCCTTCAGGCATCACAATTACAAGAAAATTAATGGGAAAGACGTGGAGCTCGTTGAGGTTGGGCCCAGGTTTCAGCTAAAACTCTACGAGATTAAATCTGGAACTCTCGATGCAGCTGCTGCTGCTGACACCGAATGGGCCCTCAGGCCCTACATGAACACCAGCCACAAGAGGAGATTTTTGTCACAGGAGGATGGCTGGCAGCAGGAGGACGATTTGTAATTCTGTAAGTGCTCGGTGGATGATTTGTAATTTTATGAAATTCTCATGCGTTTGTAATTAAAAATAATTCAAGACAAATTCGGATTTTCATTTTATTTTCAACTCTATGAGACAACAGAATCATCAGCGAGAATGAAAAAAACATGGTCATGGCATTTTTTTTTATTTAACTGGCCATCATTTCATTAATTATTCCTAATCCTTCAGCGATAATCTTCCACAATTAACAAAAATCACTCGTCAGTTGAATAAATCACGAATGAGTAATGCTTGTTAGGGTACGCATTTTAGTAATACTTCTGTTGTATTCTTACATTTACGATCCTTGATATAAAACTTGTCCAAACACTTCTGTCTCAATAATTTTTATTTTCGTCAATTTCAAAATAGAAAAGAAAAAACAATATTTAAAAAAAAAAAGGGGGGGAGGGGGAGTTAGGACAAAATATATTACTTAAAACAACGTACAAATGTAGATCATAAAAATTGTTAAATAATAATAATTTAAAAATAAATATTGAAATAATCGGATGGGATTTATCCAATATTTTTCCTTCTTCAAGGGAAGTGGACAGGAAACAATAAAAACTGAATTCTCAAACGTGAATCGATTGTTGAAAAATATTTCAATATTTCTGGATGATTTTCTGAATGTTGCGCTTTTAGGATTGATTCTTCGATTAGAAAAGATGGAATGGATGGATCAACTGGTTATCGATATTTAGTCAATAGATTTGCATTTCGTTCACTTGCTATTTTTTATTCTCAGGCGACTAGAATTCCCCTCCCTTCATGCTGCCTTCGTGTCATTGAAACATAAACAATTATTCGTCACGTTTGAGGACACCAGCTGTCTTCAACAGAAAAAAAAAACTAAGAATTTAACAGAATTGTCGCTAAAGAAATATAAAATATTAGTTCATTATTTTCACATTTCCATCATTCTGTCTTCATCCTTTTAATTGGTAAATTCGATTAGCTCGATTCAATTACTTAATAATATCATTGTCCCTCCTCTCTCATCATTAAAAAACCTGTCGATGAGTTTTTTCAGGATGAGGGGATGCACTAATAGTTCCTAAGATTCATTTTTTTAAAAATGAATGTTGAAAAAGAATATCAAATTTTCCAAAATTACCGGATACATTTGTACTTCAGTTTTCGTTCTATTTTGGAACATTTGATTTCTCCGGAAAATATGATTATCGAAATGTAAATCAACATTTGAATCTTCCTAGCTAATGATTCATTGAGAAAACGACAAATCAAATTATCGAGTAAGGAGATAAGTCTGAATTTCGGGGCAGGAACTCAGTGAAAACTAAACAGGGCATTTTATTGCACTCAGGTGTCAATCAAATTCTCAAATGAGTCTTAGCCCAGAAAATCGTCAGTCGAAATCACCAAAAGAATAATTTTTCATCTGGAAATAATTTATGTAATGAAAAAGAATCCATTTGTTCATCTAATAACAAAGAAAAATAGATAAAAATTCAATTTACGGCTCGCAAAAAGAGTTAAATCTTTCTGAAAAATCTGTTTATTTTTGCACTAACAATTTTCAATCTCAGCGCATGCTCGGCATAAATAGATTCTCACAAATAATTACTAAACGATTTATTTGGGACAAGACTCGTTCGAAAGCTTCTGCTTTTTGACTGTGGGATCGAAATAGTGAGAGTTCGAGTTGAGTAGACAAGACTTCAAAGAACCGCGAGAGAGGGAAGAAAACAATAAACAAAGTTTTTCCATAATCGGAAAATCTCTTTACGTAGCACCTCAGAAATATTCTCCGCAGAACCATTTAAATCGAGGTGTAAGTACGATTCACAGAGATTCTGAATATTCTCGAAGAAAAATGTTCCATGAGAGGAAAAAAATCTAACGGCTGAAGTAAAAATCATCAAGATCTTACCCCACGATTAAAAACCTACGAACTTATCTCCTTAATAACTCAATCACAGAATGACAACATAAACACGAGTTTTCTCATAATCAACGAAAGAAGTTTCAATTTATCGAGGTGCGAATAAACGAGTGGGAGTGAATTGATTTAAAATTTATTTTGGCACCAAAGTGAACCTTCAAATTTTTTCCCCACACCATCAATAATAATCTCCGATATTCAATTTAATTCCGATAATTAGCTGCCACCATTGGAATTTTCGTGATTAAATGGTGGATTAATATCGAGTAATTAATACACTTACCCACTCGTTTTTTTTTCCCTCTGAGCATCACCGCAATTTCGATTACTTCAATATTTCTTCTCGTCTCGCACATCGCTGATTTATATTCCCTCATTCACTAATTCATAATCGATCTCTCACACTCTATTCCTCGCACACACATACCATTCGGTCCCAGAATTACAGGGCAAATCGTCAAAAAAAATATTGCGAACAGCCCTCGACTTTAATCGGAATTTTTTTTGTATCAGCCCGGACTCAATTACCCCACCATTCCATCAATTTTCCACTCCAATAAGAAATACTGATCCTTGAATTTCGGAATAGCCAACAATTTTTTACATTTTAATTATTTACTGCTGCAATAACCGCGATTGTCCATTTTACCGTAATAATACTGAATAGCTGATGCTTTCGAATTCGATGAAGAAATTCTCAAGGAATTCCAAAAGAATATCGCCGTCAATGAAATTTTCACAAAGTTGATATTTTTCCCTCTTTTCGATGTATAGAATATCCTTCGTTGAGAAAGTCTTTGGTGAGCAAATTTTATCGTCAAAAAATTTCGAAAATACCTCGGGTTTTACTCAGTAAAAATGCTGTCACACTCGCGAGTGAAAAAAATTGTTGGATCGAAATTCGACTGAAGGACCAACGAAGATAGCGTCACCGGTGATAATTTAACTCTACATTTCATATTTCAATTTGTCGCTTGAGTCATTTATCTCATAATAACTCAACATTACCCCAAAATCTTCTCCCAGCATTTCTTCTTCTCTCTTCATTATTTCTTCTTTACCAGAATGTATAACCGCCCTCTGCAGCACCACCGAGGAATGAGCCCTTCTTTTGCGATAGTGCAACACTGTGACCTGCCATGGCTGCCAACTGTGCAGCATTGGCAACACCTGGTGGTGGTGGTGGGGGTAGAACTTGTTGCGAAAGCCCATCGAATCGTCCACCATCGAAGCCGTTCTGTCATTAAAAACCACCCGAATTAATTAGGATAGGGGACGGTAAAGTTATGATTTTCTAAAATTAATTTTCTTTTCAAATCAAATGGGAAGATGAAGCGGCAAAATTTGAAAATTCAACAAATGTCAGAGATTTGAAAAATCGCAAAAATCCGGGAATCCCCGCGGGAACTAAGAGAGGTCGCAGATTATTGGACAAATTTCGGGTGGGGGAGGGGGCGGTAAAGGGAGCTGAAAATTTTTGAAAATTCTAACAATCCCGAACGGTTGTCGTGCCACATTAATAATTAATAAATATAAGAGTTCATGCCCTGTATTTGCCATTTAATCCGCTAACCCATTTCCATAAAAAACTTACGGGTACCAGCATAGTTGGTCTGACTGGTGCAGGCTGCATGGCAGCAGTCGGATAATAAGTTGCGGCTGCCAATTGCGGATAGTACTGGAGTGGACCATAAGCTGTTGGATATCCGGTTAAATATCCCCCTGGATAGCCCTGGCCATACATCGGCTGGTACATCTGAACGAGGAATGACAGATTAAATATTAATGAGGGGGTGAAGTTATTAATGGCTTCATTCATTGTTGCCGCAACGAAGAGAAATTATACAAGATTTCACATCCTCTTTTGTGGAGTTCATTAAATTCACGGAATTTTTTTAAAGTGTTAAAAACATTCACCGAAATTTTTACTGGAAAAATGGATGATCAAGATCGAGTTAATGAAATTTAATTGGCATTACCATGGTATGTGTCAGTGTTTGGTCATATGTCGGCGGTGGTGGCCCTTGCGTTGCATAAAATTGTGGCTGATTTGGAAATACCCCATAAGGACCAGCCCCTGCAACTGAAAATTCATGATAAAAATCACAATATCTCTCTGGCTATTCAACTAAATTCCCAGGAAACGACAATTGTCGCAAAGTAGAAAATTATGAGAATTACCTCCATAAGCTGTGGGCTGGGCTTGCGGTGGTACAAATCCAGTGGGTGGATGCGGTGCCACGGGATATGCTGCAACACAATTCCAATAAAACTGTTATTTTTTTTCAAATATAGGAAAAAAAAATAATGGAAACAAATTGTCTTTCGAATCTAAGCCAAAGGTACATGTACCATAGCCCGAGGAAAACTGACGAGACATTTCCTTGTTTCCATAAATCAATTTTTTTCAGTGATTTTTGGTGAAAGGATCAGCCTCAATTGCCAACAATCGATTATTTTTTTATCGTCATAGGTCCTCTTTGATAATTTATTTGGTGTGAGTGATTGAGATAAATATTTGTGGCTATTCTAACTGCTGGAGGTAATTATGACGATAGAAAATTGACGATTATTACAGTGGCACTCCCAAACCCAAGTATATCTTACACATGACATACACCGTTTTTATCCAAGAAAGAAAATACTAATCAAAGCTCAAACAATGTTAGTCACTAATTTAGTGTGGGGGGATAGAAATAAATAATCAGGTAAAACAATTGGAACGATCGGAAGAACGGTAACGTCGCCCTTTTTTACCACCACTCGAGTTTACCACGACTTTTGTTACTCATTCTTTTTAATTGTTTGTTACTCATTCTTTGAAATGTCATGGTGCAGAAAATTGGGCGATTGGTTTCAACAAGTCAATCAAATTTTTCGATCATGAAATAATTTAACGTAACCCTTCGTCAAAATTCTGTCAATTCTCGTTGCAATTGTAGTAATTTTCACCCTCTGTACATTCCAAAAAATTATTTCCGCCAGAAAAAAATCCTCGAGACAACTAAATTTCTACAATCTCTACATAAAATTGCGGTTTTAAGTTTGTCTCAAACAAATCTGGTTGACACTAATCAATTTAATTGGCAGAAATAATTTTTTTTGAGAGAATTGATCGAATCGAAATCTCTGGAATTTTTAATTTTTTGAATATCTCATGAAATTGGCGCAAAAAATCTGAAATTGCTGGAGAATTTTGACAGAAATTCAAGAGAATTCTCGGGGTAAGAATTTCATTGAATTTTTTCATGTGTGGATTGTTATCGTTATTGCATTAGTCACTTGAAACTTGAATTTCGAAAAATTTGAATACAAATGAAATAATGTCTCATAGCAAATAGCGTTACACAACGAACTGTAAATAACTAATTACAGAAGACTAATTGGAAAAGCAAGAGCTATAACTCCTAACACCAGCGAGATGTAGAATTTGGATAATCCTGAGTTTTCATAAATAATTGAATCACTGAAAGGACTCGAACTCGTGGTTTAATCGAGTGGTGAAGAAAAAAAAATGTGTAATTCATACAATGAGCATACGAGTGGTAACAATGATAATATATATTTTTCTTTATGTATATATATATGTATATATATCAAGTTCCACACATTCAAAAAGTATCGTGACAAGATTCAGCAAACCACAAATTTCTGCAAAATATCCAATAAATAAAGGTCTCAAACATTATTCAAAAAAATTGTAATATTCCTTTTTTAGTAAATTGCATAGTATATTATAAATAATCAAATTGAGTGATCAGAGTATTGACTGGCAGAAAAGTGTAACATTCATTGATTCAAACTTTGAAAATTCAACAAGTCGTGATTAAATTACTCAAAATCGCCCAACTTCATTACATAATTTATCTTTTAGTAAGTCTAAATTACACGCCCTGCCGTAGCACCAAAACTTCGCAAAAATATTGCAGATTATTGCAACATCTGACAAGCGGATAATCCATTTTTTGTCATTTTATTTATTGAAATAGTGAGATTTCTCTTTATTTTTTATTGTTTTTTTTTTGTGTAGTTTAGTTGCTTAAGCTCGGCAGCAGTGGATGGACATGTTGTACTCTAACATAGAAGTCAGCCCACACCAAATTGTCCATGATAATTGAGTGTCGTTCCAAATTTTAAAATCAACTTAAATAATCTCATGCCTCCAATGAATTACAGTGAAAAATAGTATTCCGTTATGTTAAAAAATTTCACAACTTTTGATAATGAGATTTCAAAAATTTTCATGAACAACACTCAGTGGATAAATTCATGTGTCAGTGCCACGGTGCAAACAATCATCGAATCCAATAACAATTGATTATAATATTAATGCTAGGTACCACTGGACAATTGTAAAATTTCCTGCTTTCGATTTCTCTGATATTGTCATTGATATTTTCAACATTGAAATATCGATACGTCATTGATTTTCGGTTTAGTCCGACATGTCTATTCATTATTTTCTCATGTTTCTGCATTATTTTCAATAAAAAAAAACCATCAATCAAAGAAAAAAGTGAAAATAAATTTTGAGAATTAGAGAGCCAAGAAATTACTCGTCCGTTTTATTAGAAAATTGTGCCCATTTTCTAGACGGGAAATTTTTCTTTTATCGAAATGCTTTAGGTGGAACGGCAGAATTTTCTCAATTTTTTTTCTCCCAAATTTATATTTAATTTTCCTCATGGAAATGTTTCTGGCTTTTTAATTTTTATTCTGTAAAAATTAGGGGATTTGCTTGAAAAAATTCTGGCTTGAAACAACCCTGAACCAAAAGTTTTTTATATATTTTTTAACGCTATTCTTCCTTTAAGCTCACTATTAACAGTATACATGTTTAAATTTTTGCGCACATGCACATGCACTTCATGCCGAGAAATCACTGCGTTCCTTGATATCGCATTTCATTGTTTATCACAAAAAATATTGAATTCTAATTGAATGAGATAGAATCGCTCATATCGATTCCGAAGCGATTTCTCTCGAGAACGGAGT